CAGGGCTCGGGACGGGCACGAAAGTAGCTGCGGTAGCGGGTGGCGACTGTAATTGGCCGACACGGAGGTGGCGTGAGGCAGCGCAGTGACTATGAAAGTTCACCGAGCAATGGTGGGTTCCACCACATCGTTTTTGTTTATTGGGCAGCGCGTGACGCATATTTGCAACATTCGTAGCAAAATTTTAAGCATGGTGGCATTTTTTCGGCAATATATCAATAGGGTAGTTGTTGGAGACTTTTTTGCCCCAAGCCACCCAACCTGTCTTTAGGGCAGCTGTTGGAGATGTTGCCTGTGTATCATACCAAAAACCTACATTTGAGCTTCTACTTGTCCGTGATGTTTTTTGTCTAATAAAAAGAACCCTAATATATATTCGATGTCGGATTAAAAATCTGACACCCACCCTCAGATACATAACGTCTGATCCTGATTGAATGCATGGCAATTACCCGCTGCCATATGAAAGTTTTTTCTGACAAATTTTACACTATATGACAATTTTCACTTTAGAGCATGTCAAATCTTACGCAACAGTGAACAGTCTGAGAAATTTATCTTTTTTCGCATGGGAACTCTGGATGTTTGTTGACAAACGCTAAAAATCAGACGCCATACTTTTAGCATTTGCCAAATAAAATCAGATCGTTGCTATTCACCTTATTACCAGCATAGTGAAAATCATCCTTCCTACAGCGCCGCGGCTTCGAAAGTGATACGCCACCTGCTCCCCTTGTCCGTGCTACTGTATATACGTATACACAAACCTACCGAACAAGAACAACAGTGCGTGGTACGTACGCCCAAGACGCGTGTCCATGTGGGCGCGTCACGCTGACACAAGACGACAATTTCGTACTGTACAACCTGGCCGTGAGTAGCGAGGTTTTGGCCACCCACCAGGAGCCATTTTTCGGCCTCCGTTTGATGCCCAGATCGACCCGTTTTGCACATAAACAACACACAGTAGAAATGGTTAAAAATCACTCAGAACGAGCAATAAGTTTGACAAAAACTTTCATGCAGCGCTTCTAAAAACAAAAACTTTCATGCAAGCAGAGCCGCAGCTAGGCACAACCACAACGCCGTCAGCGCGGGCCACACGACCCCCACCCGGTGCGATCCGCCGAGGTCGAGCCTGGGGATGCCGGCGTCGTCGTCGGTGCCGCCGGCCGGGCCGAGAGCGGCGCCCGGGCTTGCCAGCGGGGCGCCGGCGCCGGCTCCGGTTCCCGCGGGGGCTCCCTGCGGCGTGGAGCCGGCTGGCGAGGTGACGTGCACGTGCAGCTTCATGCCGCCGAGGCAGTGCATCTGGTGGCCGCAGATGAAGTACCGGTCGCCGCCGGCCGTCAGGGGCACCGTCGTGTTGCCGTCGCTGCTGGAGAGCAGCGCGTTGGCGGCGCTGCAGCTCTTGAACCCCGCCGCGTCCACCTCGTCCAGGGTGTGGGTCTTGGAGTACGTGAACACTGCAGATCGATCACAAGGCGCACGTGGACAAGTGGTTAAGCAAAACTGATCATTAAGCGTAGCTAAAACAGTAAGTAGCGTGATTCATTCATACCTAGAACGTCGCCGACGTTGAATATCTTGGCGGCGGCCCACGACTGGAGGTCGGCGCTGATGTCCCAGCCGGCGCTGTTCCCGACGGTGTACGACGCCGCCCGCGCCTCCCAGGCGACGCCGTGGAGGAGCAGGGCGCACAGCGCGAGAGCGACGCCAGCTTGGGCCATGGATGTATGCTAGTGCAGATTGCAGAGATAAGAAAAATTAACTCATACTGCATCGTCAAGAGCTTGGATATATATGAGCTCCCTGAGCGCCGGTTCTTGTTGAGGATTGGGTAACCTAATCTTTCGAGCGCGTCGCTGGAAATAATCGACCTAATCTTGTAAGGCGACCAGGGGACGGTGTTGCAGATTGATTAAGCGAGCGACACACGCGGGCTAGCGGCTGAAAAGGTTGTAAAATGGGGAGGTGCAACGGTCTTCGTGTGCTTGTTCTGATTTGAATATGTGATCGCGGGGATGAATGGGGGTGTTTGGTGAGGTTGGTGACGCAACTTTCTCTTGTGCCGTTGGTACTAGGTATCGGCGGTTAAGCTGTTCCTGCCGCTCCAGGCTCGTGCCGGGCCATCTTCACCATTTTTGTGGTTTTCTACTCTTCTTTTTTATAGCTACTTGTTCCCTCACTTCTTGGAGAGGATTTTGGTTTTCTAGTAGGTTGAAACTGTTAGACTGAGATCATAACCGGCAAGTTGGTCTTGCGCCAGCCGTGCTGGTCTCCCGTGCGAGTCGCATGGCACCGCCCTTGCATGAGCCATGCAGGGTCAAGCCGTCTCTATCTACTCCTTGGATATAGGATCGGCTGTTGCTTAGCGTGTGTGTGCGTGCGTTGTATCCTCTCTCCCTCTCTCAAAGTGTACTCTCTTATATATGCTGCCCCTGAGAGGATGAATACAACTTGCATATTGAGCTCATTCTTATAGTTTAACATGGTATTAGTTTTGTGATCCTCCTTTCTCGCTTCCGCCATGGCCGAGGAAACCTCCGCCGCCGCGGCCGCCGCCGCCATGGGCGCTCCTCAGGCTTCCTCCTCGCCTCCCCCTCCCCCACCGGCCACCTCCCCTCTGCAGGTCGCCCCCTCTCCACTGCCACTCCTTGCCGCCCCTACCCTCCCCCACTTCAAGACGGCGGCGCAGCTCCATGCCGAGCGCGTTGAAGGCGCCAACATCTTCCACCGTGTCCGCATCGTCCTCGACATGCAGGGGAAGAACTACTCCATCTGGCGTGGGCTGATGGAAGAGGCCTTCGATCAGTTTGACGTGAACGCCCACGTCTCGCCCGACTTCTCCGATCATCAGCACGACCCGACGTGGACTATCATCAAAAAAGCAGTAAAAACCTGGTTCTACAACACCATGTGTCGTGAACTTCTCGGGTTTGTTCAGGACCGGAAAGCCACGGCCTTTGAGCTTTGGACCAAGCTGGAAGCGCTCTTCCTCAACAACCAGCGCTCCCGGCAGTTCCATCTCAAGACGGAGCTCTACGCCGTGAAGCAGGGCGACTCCACCATCCTGGTCTTCTGCGCCCGGCTCAAGTCCGTCGCGGACGCCCTTCGCAACGTCAACAAGCCCGTCGACGATGATGAGCTGGTGATCCAGCTTCTTCGGGGCGTCGATCGGAATCGCCACGGGATGACGGCTGCCATCATCGAGAAGTCGCCGAACCCCATGCCCTTCGAGCAGGCCGTCGGCATGTTCCTCCACGACGAGATGACCTCCGGTGGCGCCTTCCCGGCCGGTTCCCACACCGCTCTTGCGGCTCACGGCCGCCCCCCTGCTCCATCTCCGGGGGGCGTCTCCGGCAGCGTCACCAAGCAGCAGGGCGGCGGCAGCAAGCCCGGCACCCCCTCGCCGAACCAAGGTGCCAACAAGCGGCGGCGCTACACCAACAACGGGGGGTACCAGGGTGCGTCCTCCGGCCCCAATCCCTGGACTGGGCATGTGTACGCCTACCCGATGCCTCTCCCGCCGCCGCCCCGGGCACTCCCCGGCCTCCTCGGCTCGCGTCCTCAGGCACACGCCGCGTTCGGCGGCCCTCAGCAGCCGCTCCAGCCGGCGTACGGGTACACCTACGGCGGCCCTCATCTGCAGCCTGCACCCATGCCGGTGTTCCCTCCGCAGCAGCAGTACCTCCATCACCACCAGCAGCAGCAGGCATACCTTCCGGCCCCGCCACAGCAGCAGTTCCTGCCTCCGCCGCCCGCCGCAGCCTCTGATTCACACGGCGTCGACCACGCCGCCTTGATGGGTGCTCTTCACAACCTGTCCCTACAGTCTCCGAGCGGCGGCTGGGTCACGGACTCCGGCGCCTCCGCTCACATCACCTCGGATCCTGGTAAGCTTTCCTCCGTCGTCCCTGTATCAGGTTATCCCCCAGTTTATGTCGGTAATGGTAGTTCCCTGCACATTAGTCACATTGGTTTTGCTACTCTTCCAAACCCCCATCGGCCTCTCTATCTAAATAACGTCCTTGTTGCACCTGATCTCATCAAAGATTTATTGTCCATTCGTCGTTTATCTACTGATAACAACTGTTCCGTCGAATTTGATCCCCATGGCCTCTCTGTGAAGGATTATGCAACCAAGGCGGAGGTCCTCCGGTGCAACAGTAGCGGCGAACTGTATGACATTTTTCCACCGGCTGCACCCACTGCCTACGTCGCCACCGTCTCACGCCTTACAGATCTTTGGCACCGGCGTTTGGGTCACCCCGGCGATGCCACTTTTCATAGCAATAAAAGTTTAGATCATTGTAATAAAAGTGTTTCTGATGGGCGCTTGTGCCATGCTTGCCAGACTGGAAAACATGTTCGTTTACCTTTCAGTTCCTCTCTTAGTTCCACCACTGGTCCATTTGAATTACTCCATTGTGATCTTTGGACTGCCCCTTTATCTAGTGTCTCTGGCAACAAATATTATCTCTTAGTCATTGATGATTTCTCGTGCTACCGATGGACTTTTCCTCTCAAACAGAAATCGGATGTCCCTGTCGTGTTTCGTTACTTTCATGCATATGTCCGCACGCATTTCGGTCGTACCATCCGTACTCTCCAATGCGACAACGGACGTGGGTTTGACAGTACCCAAAACCGCGACTTTCTGCTTCCCTTTGGCACGGTGATGCGCTTCTCCTGCCCTTACACGTCGCCCCAGAACGGGAAAGCCGAGCGTGCTATTCGTTCGACGAACGATGTGGTCCGCACGCTCTTACTTCAAGCATCCATGCCTCCTCGCTACTGGGCCGATGCTCTCACCACCGCCACCCTCCTTCTCAACCTTCATCCCACCAAAAAGTTGTCCCTCATCACGCCTCACGAAACCCTTCATGACACACCACCCTCTTATTCTCACCTGCGTGTTTTCGGGTGCTTGTGCTACCCCAACACCGAGGCCACCACGCCACACAAACTGGCCGCCCGCTCCGTCGCGTGTGTCTTCATCGGCTACCCCCTCGATCACAAGGGCTATCGCTGCCTCGACCGCTCCACCAACAAAGTGTACACATCCCGGCATGTTGTCTTTGATGAGTTCGTTTTCCCCTTTTCTAACACCCCGGCGGCCTCCCCACCGATAGACTTTTCCCACCCGACGTCCTACGACGGCCCAACCCTCTCCTCTGCTCCTGTGATCACACCGCTAGTCGTTAGGACTCCTACCACGACCGCCACTCCGCCCGGCGACGGCACTGCCACGGCGGCCGTCTCGCCCGGCAAAACCGTTGCCACGGCGGCCGTTTCGCCCGGCGCTAACGCTGCCACGACGGCCGTTTCGCCCGGCGAAAACGCTGCCACGGCAGCCGTTTCGCCCGCCGCTTCCAGTGCCGCGACACCGGATTCCACCGCCACCCGGACCTCTTCATTGATCGATAGTAGCCCCTCGTCTTCCTCCTCTGGTAGCACTACCAACCCCAGACCCCTCCCTCCGCGGGCCGTTGCTGTTGCACCGCCTGCTAACCCACATAACATGCGCACTCGTGCCAAATCCGGCTTTCACTTACCCTCACGCCGCCTCAACTTCCTTGCTGATTTTCGTGGTGTCTCGCCGCTCCCACGCACCTACCGGGCTGCTCTTGTTGATCCACACTGGGCCAGCGCCATGAGTGATGAGTACCAAGCTCTTCTTCAGAATGAGACTTGGGCTCTTGTCCCTCGCCCCTCCGGTGCTCCCGTCATCAGCGGGAAGTGGGTTTTTCGGCACAAGTACAACTCTGACGGCACGCTCGCTCGCTATAAAGCCCGTTGGGTTGTTCGTGGCTTTTCTCAGACCGAGGGGATTGATTACGACGAGACCTTCTCTCCCGTCGTCAAACTCAGCACTATCCGCGTCGTTCTCTCCCTCGCTACCTCTCACTCCTGGCCTATCCATCAGTTAGATGTCAAGAACGCTTTCCTTCATGGCCATCTTGCTGAGACCGTTTACTGCCAGCAGCCCCTCGGGTTCGAAGACCCTGTTGCACCTTCTCACGTTTGCCTCCTCAAGAAATCTCTTTACGGCCTTAAGCAGGCTCCACGCGCCTGGTTTACTCGTTTTGCCGCATTTGTCGCGTCCATCGGGTTCGTCTCCTCTAAATGCGACACCTCTCTCTTCATTTACAAATCCACAAACCACACCGCCTATCTTCTTCTTTACGTCGACGACATCATTCTTACGGCCTCATCGACCTCTTTTCTTCACTACATCATCTCTCTCCTTCGTGGCGAATTCTCTATGACTGACCTCGGTACACTCTCTCATTTCCTTGGCATTGCCGTGACTCACTCACCCACAGGGCTCCATCTTTCTCAGCGGCAGTATGCCTTGGATATCATAGAGCGTGCTGGCATGGCCAATTGCCATCCCATCCATACTCCCATCGACTCTGGCGCCAAACTCTCCATCACTGACGGTGATCTCCTCGATAACCCTACTATCTATCGCAGTCTAACCGGCGCCCTCCAGTACATGACTATCACTCGTCCTGACCTGTCCTATGCCGTTCAGCAGGCATGTCTCTTCATGCATGCCCCACGTTCCTCCCACTATAATCTTGTCAAACGCATCATTCGTTATCTCAAAGGCACCCTGGACTACGGTCTCCACATTAACCCATCCTCACCGTCCACTCTCTTAGCATATTCCGACGCGGATTGGGCAGGCTGCCCCGACACACGACGCTCCACCTCTGGTTTT